CGCTGAATCTTTCGCCGGACTTGGGCAATAGTATACTCCCTCTTCAATGCATAACTAAGCACTGGGTTCATTAATTTTGAAATTTCTGCCCACAAGGAATTGAACATAGGGCCTTGGTGTATGTCCGCCTTCTCACGGCACTTTTTGAAAAACAATCGGTAGCAAATATCTTCCTCTTCCTCTGTCCAGTCCACGCCACGGAAGCGAATCGAGATCTTTTCATAGGGTGAAATCGTTTCTATTTTTTTTTTTTTCGCAAACGTGCGCCTCCGAGGTTTTTTCTTTTTTTTGCTACAATCGAAAACTAGGGTTTTGAGAAGTGAAAGGTTAATTATTCAACAAAGAGAATGAAAGGTTAATAATTAGAGATAGCATTTAAAGCTAGGTAGATATACATCAACTCGACAACTAAATGAGGAAGCATGCAAATCGTCACATTTTTTTACGTGTAAGAGCAGACAATCAATCAATGCGGTGCGTAATTTATGGGAATAATATGCGAAGAACTTTTGATTTGGATATGCGGTGCAGACAATCAATCAATGAAGACTAGGCGAATGAACCTGCGAATCAACCCAATTGTGCGATTATTATGGGACATGATATGGGAATCGCACAATCAACGATTATTATGGGACATGTTATGCGGATCGTGCAATCAACCCAGTTTCACTACTTTCTGTTTAGTCAAACGTGTGTGTGCAGGTCACAACTTAGGGTACCAAGTACCAACACAGTATTTTTCCCGTTAAAAGTATTTTTTCTGTTAAATTGTTTTACCAATTAAAAACTCCAATGAGGTACATAATATTACATAACGTCTCCATCTTCATCTAAATTTCCATGGAATGGACGTGTGGACAGGATGACGATTTGTGACCTGTTTCTTTACAAGTACGACATCTCATCGGGCGTCTCGATGTTGTTCTTGCCCTGTTATGCCCGGTGACCCCGCACCGAGAGCACATCTGCTGACGCCGTACTCGACGTGATCGTGATGATCCTTCATCAGCGCCCCGAGGATATCCAGTATGTGTAAATGAACTAGGGCCTGCTTGATATGAATATGGGGCCTCGTGGGAAAATGCAGAACTACCAACACCAAAAGAACTAGGAAACACACCTTGGGACGCCATCATTTGTGTGAAGCTTTGTTGCGCCGTCCCCGGAATCCCTACATTTACTCGCTTCTCCAACTCCAGGTAAATGTTGGGATTTTCTTGTTCTTCAATCAGCTCTAAGATATCGTCACTGGATTCAATTTTCATCTTCACAGCTCGCTCCCTTCCATCAAATGCTGCCCACAATATGTACTCAAAATTACAAGGATTGGCCTTTAATAATGCTTGAGCACGAGAAACTACTTCAGAATACATTTGTCGGCCATAATTTATTCTCATCAGCTCTGCCACTCCACCAAGATATGAACCCCCAGAAAACAAACCACCATAGTGCAGAATAGTTTAACACGGTTGCTAGCCATTCAAATAAGTGAACAACAAAAACAATTAAAACTAAAGAAACAGAAAAATGAAGTAGATGAATGGTGCAGAGTGCAGACGTTAAATTGTTAGAGATCACTGTTTTTTTGCCTGCATCATAATTAAATGCAGAGAAAAAATCCTCACCTGTGAAAAACCAGTCAATTTAATGTGGTGTGTAACTTATGCGACATATATGCGAAAAAATTCCGAATAGTAGTACAATTGCAAGGTCGATATGGCCATGCGAAAAAATGGCGCATAACCGTCAAATAACTTATGCTTTATTCGATTTGGTTATGCGATTCTTAAATATGCGAGCGAAAAAATGTCGAATAATTATCAATTATCCAGCATTATATTGCCTATATGCGAAAGTTTTTCGTATATTAGTAAATTATGCGATTGACTTGGATATGCAAAATTGCAAATACTAAAAAAAATGCGAAGTCAACAAATTATGCAAATTATATGCGAAACATTTCGCATATTCATAAATTCGCAAGGTCGATATAGCCCTGCGAAAAGAAGGCGCATAATCATCGTGAATTATGTTGCATTCGATTTGGATATACGATTATTAAAAATGCGAAAGATGTCCGCATATTTGTAAATTATGCGTTTGATTTGGATATGCGATTCCTAAATATGCGATATGTTTTCACATAGTCATAAATTATGCGTCTGGTTGGATATGCGCTGGTTCATTTGGACATGCGAGTGTAATATCGCATAGCATTTCGTGACTTTTGGGGTGTAAAAGAAGTTATTTAACGGGGTGGTGTGTAAAAGAAAGAATAGATATATAATGGGGTGATAAAGATTTTCACTCATTATATAAATGTGGGTAAAAAAATATTATTCTAATTAGCTTGTTTATGAATATGCTTAAAATTTCAATTTTGAATTTCAAATAGAGTAGAAGACGGAATAATTAAAAGTTTAATTAGTTAAAATATTATATTAATTATATTTTAAAAATTCTAGTTAAATAATTGTAATTGTATTAATTAGTTTGTTAGGAATATGATTATATGGAAGTTAAGATAAAATAAAATACATCCAAAAAATCTACTTGTGTTCTTTTCCTTTAAATGTTTGAATTTAAATATCTAATAACCAAATTTAGATTATATCACGTAAGGAAAAAATAAATAACAACCATTTATTAAAGAGATAAATCAATAATATTTATATTAGTTATATCATAAAAAATTTAGTCATATCATTTTACTTTCAAAAAAATTGGCAACTTTGTTAGAGAGATAATTCCGGTAGATAAATGATTAATTTGTTAAGATATTATATTAGTTATATCATAAAAAATTTAGTTAGATAATGTAGATAAAAAATATAATATTAATTAGTTTGTTAGAAATATAATTATATGAGAATCAAGATAAAATAACATTTACCCAAAAAATCTGCTTGTGATTTTTTCCTTTTAAATGTTTGAATTTAAAAATCTAATAACCAAATTTAGATTATAAAATTAATTATATTTTATTTCTATTTTTTCCTCCTCCATTATATTTGCTTCCGCTGCTACTTTTCCGGGATCATGCGACTCAACTCATCACAATCACATATTTATTTAGTTTTATCAACTCATTAAAATTACATCTATTAAAATAAATTTCCCGTCGAAACCTTTCACTTTGCTGAAGGAAATATTTTTTAAAAGTTTTGAACCCACATTTTATTAATCGAATATTCAGGTTTTATAAAGAACGATTTGTTTCATAATATGTAAATCTTTTAATTTTAAAAATGATCTTGCAACTTTTATTAATGAAAATTAGCTAAATTATTATAGATGTTTTTAGACATTTTTTAGCATATAAAACTGTAGGTGTTTAAAAAAAAAAGAATAGATAAATTTAATTGTATTTAATATTTTTTGGCATATATCTTAGTTTTTTTTATCCATGTTATGTTAAGAAATTTTACATAGAACTCAAACATTCGTCCAATTGTTTTTTCTACACCAACGAAATTCTACCTACGATTTTAGGATTGACACGATATATAAAAATCGCTTCCAAATTTAAGTCAAATTAAAGAATTAGAATAGGAATCATGTGAGAAATTAATCCGCAAAATCAAATTTCATGGGCGGGATACACCAATATTCACGTTAGCCAAATATTTCAAATAAAATTTTAGGGGGAAAATAAACATTTGAGCGGGAAAATGAATTATTTTTTTTTTTATTTTTTCTTAACTGTGTTATATAGTAATAGATTTCCTAAACTTCAGTTAAATGATATTTTTTTTTATTTCATAAACTTCAGTTGAATGATTTTTTTTATTCTAACGTCCAATTTATACCAAATTATTTGAATATATAACATAATAATTTATAATAATATTATTTTAAAAAAAAAAAAAGGTGTCCGGCCGGTCGGACCGGTCAAACCAATCACGACTGGCCTTCGGGGCCGGACAACCAACAGTCGTCCGGCCGGCCCAAAAACCGGTCCGTACGGCCGTAAATCGCGTACAAACACTGTCGTGTCCGGTTCGACCGGCCGGACGCCATTTGGGCCGCCCGGTTTCGGCGGCCGGACAAGTTTTTTTTTTTTTTTAATTTTTGGGAAAAAATGCCACGGGCAAAAACTGTTCAAGTGAAGCGGTAAATAGTAATAGGGGCGGTGAATAGTAATGTCCTTTTTCAAATCTACATATTTATTGAATATTTTATTGTTCGGGGGTAATATAGGTATACACTTGGGTGGTATATATATTTAATTATTATTTGTTGATCCAATATTGAAACAATTGATGATTATAGTGCAAACTGCGATATTTATATGTATATACTTGTGGGTATGTATATGTATGTTGATCCAACATTGAAAAAATTAATAATGTCAAATGTACTCAAGTTTAACTAGTATTTTATTGTTGGACTAGTATTTTATTGTTTGATATGTATGTAATACTTGTGTGGCATATATATATGTATGTATGTTAATCCAACACTAAAAAACTGATTATGTCAAATGTACTCAAGTTTAACTGTATTTTTAATTGTTATATTAACAAACTCTTGTATGATTATGTAGGAATTAATCTAACAACAAAACAACTCAATGACTAGTATGTATGTCCCGTATTAATCCAACATCGATCAATGGGTCTGTTACATATAAAATCTGCACATTATTAATCGACCCAAATGTCAAGTGACATACACAAAATGAGATTATTTTTTTTATCAATCAGCACCATTTAAATTAGGTTATATCTTCTTAACAAAGGTAAAATCAGTGTTTCAAATACCGTGCCAATAATCATATCGCACGAACCATTAATACGCGGTTCAACTAGTTTTACCGGTTTTAATAAATATTAAATTAAATTAATTCATTATTATAATATAAATAATGTATAAAACAACCTTTAATAAATACTAAAATCAACTAAAATTTAATAATAATGTAAATAAATATATTAAAATTAAGTGAAAAAATATTGCCGGTAATAGACACCAAGATTTGAACTGAAACTGATCACACAAAACAAACTCTCATCATCAAAATAAACTGCAATTAATATTAATTCCGATGTAATTAAATTAACTAATTATACTTGAACCAGAATCCAGACAACCTTGTAAAAATAGAGGAAATCCATGGAAACACACAACCTTTTTTGGGAGAAAGCCAAAATCAAATCACCCAGAAGAGAGAGTTCATCTAACTCTAATGATACCCAAGAACCGAGACAGACATCACACGAATATATATTAGTTGAAGCTGAAACCACCAGTGGGCACAGAGACCTCGGCACCTCCGAACTGGAAGCCCTGCTCGCTGCCAGGTGGCGCCGGCTCGTCATCTTCATCTAACCAGTATGTCTCGAGAATCTTGACAGCCTTCTCGTAAATCTCGTTATTGTCGTGACTCTGAAGGTTCTCGATTTTCTCGAGCCCCTCAGCATCGTCGATCATCTGCGCGTAGAGATTGACATCTCCTGTGTGGCCCAGATTCTTCTCCGACTCCCCCACCTTCAGAATGTTCTCGAGCCCTTCTAAGCACACGGTCACGATCCTCGGGTCCGGGCAAACGAGAAGGTCGCATAGGGGTTTGATACAATTTTGGCTCACGAGGTACCTGTNGTTATATTCAAAAGCTGTTATTAAATATGAAGAAAATTCAATTCAACTCGGCTGATGAAATCGCTCCCAAAAGTGCAAAGGAAAGTTTAAAGAAAAACTAGACTATTCACTTCATTTTCAATTTTCCCCTTCACCAATCTCATCTATATAAATACAATTCCAGTAACCATCGTTTACCGTCACTATTATTTCACTGTTTTTATATGGCGATTGACATCAAACTTTAGACATTGTATTTTCATCATTATCCCAGTCACATTCATGAAAATCCATCATTCCCTTCCCAAAAAAGAAAAAAATAATATATAACTGTACTCAAGTGGAAAGAAAATAGATAAAAAACGACTCACTTGATTTGATCGTGAGTGCCACCAGATGTTGCGTTTGATATTGCCCATGCAGCCTCCTTTTTGACATCGAATTCGGCAGTCAGAAGCAACTGGACTAATGGTCCAATAATGTTGGCCTCGATTACGGACTGCATCCAAACAAATAAAAATAATTCCCGTGAGTAATATACTTGAACAGAAAATATATAAAGCAAACTCGAGGGAAATATTTTAAGTATTCTCCAATTAACCTGAATTTGACCCTTGTTTCCAGCTGTGATATTGGAAATAGTCCAGCAGGCTTCCTTTTTTATGCTCTTCTTATGAGCTCCACTCAAGAGGTTCAGGAGACGGGGCAGTGCATTATTGCTGATGATATACTGCAAACAGTCATAGAAATTCCATGAGAAATGGTCTTAACAAGATAAAATGAGCATTTGGTAAAACAGTCTTCAATTATTTCTTTAAGGGAAAATAAAGAAAACTATAAATTGCGTAAACAAAAGAGACTGCCAAAGCTTTAAGATGCCAAATACAGTTAACACTTAACAGGTGCAGCACAACAATTTGTTGCAGGTGCAAATTGCTAGTCATTAGTATTAGTTAATAAATAAATGCTGAATTACAAAATCTAGCAATAAGTGTATAACAATTGTGGTATATGTGTTCCCATTTATCGTTGTTCATAACTTCCAATCTTCTTGTACTACAAGAGGCTTTAACAGACTCCCATTCTAGATTGCAGACGTTCTAAGCAAAAAGGGGTAAACAATAAGATCAATTAGTAATTATTCATTGATGGTTGATCTATTTAATAAATTAACCAAGTTATGGTGCCCATGGGTTCCAAATATATTAAAGAATAGAAAGTATTGGTTTATCAGCTTCATGATACCACTCGCACAGTAGCATTTATGTTAGATAATAAAAGGTTGAAATTGATTTCAGTAATAATCACTTTCTTATGAGGAGTCTCTGAAACATTAAAGTAGGAGCAAAACAACTAAGTTAAAAAAAGATTATCAAAATTAACTAGGGGTGAATTCGATCCAAATTTAGGTCCTGTATTTTTCTGCTTGCCAACTAACCATGTTACAAAAATGTTAATTGTGGAAACAATATACAAAAACAGTGACACATAAAACGGGTTTGGTTCATCATACCTGAGTTTGTATATCATCTCCGGTGACAATATTTCCAACAGTCCGAAGGGCGGGAATAAGAACGGATGGTGATGGATGACTGCAATGCACAATTAGTTCATCCATCAGCCACATAAAAAAGAAAGAGAAGAGAAAAGAAGAAAAGTTTAATGTATAACAAAATAACAGAGATACTAACAGCAACAACTCGACTAAGCGGGCGCATACTCCAGAGTCAATCACAGCTTGAATTTTATCATTGGTTCCATCAGAAAGATATGAAAGTGCCCAACAAGCATCAGTCAGAACTTCTTCATCACTTGCGTGAATAAGTTGCTGGAGAACTGGAAGTGCAGGCCTCGTCTGTTCATAACAACAGTAATTAGTAAACAATTACTATGATTAAATATCATAAGTTTAAAGTACTTTTATATTGTGTTAAACTTATTCAATATCATAAGTGCTTATGGAGTTACATATGGAGAGTCAAAGAAGCATCTAGTCCAGCAAATATATCATGGGAGAGGTCTTTCAAACCATTAAAACAAGCAAATACTTTGGGCCTCATACCAGATCTTGGTAACTTACTATCTATAAGAACAGCCTTTCTTCTGAGTGTGATTTCTAGAGAACACTAAATAGCATAATAACTCATACCAGATCTTGGTAGTTCACTATTTGAAACTTGACAATCTGAATTGAAACCATATAAGCAGACTATAACCAGAAGTATTCCGAATTTATCTAATATGATAGAAACAATTATTAGTGGATTAAAAAGTGACATTCAATCTAAAATAAGAAATACAATGCTCTACAGTATATAACAAAAATTCTTTGATTGGTACTTATACATAAATAATGAATAACCCACCATAAAGTTCATGAACAATAATCCAAAGATTCTCATGCATATTGTAAGATGGAGCAGCTAGCTAACCAAGCTTAAAGCAAACCTGTTCAAACGCAGGCTGTGGCTTGCCTCTGCAGAAGTTAGACAGTGTCCAGGTAGCATTTCTGAGCATAGATAATTTGGCATTTTCATTCAACTGAGCTAGCAAAGGACCCAAGGCTCCATGACCAAGCACAAGGTCACGACAATTTGGAGAATCGCCCGCCACATTTCCCAAAGCCCATACAGCCTGAATCGTAAAATAGAACAGCCAAATTATAATAATAATTATTATTAAAAGTATCCAAGAAGTATGCATAATATACACTGGCAGGAGACTTTGTAACATAAAATGCTCCAGAAACAACACAGAATAACTCTTGAATATAAACACACCTGTTCACGAACGTCATCACTAGGAGAAGCAAGAAGCTTCACAAATATTGGGACTGCTCCATGATCAATTACTACCTTAGTGTGTTCAGATGTGCCAGAAGCGATATTAGTCAGAGCCCAAGCTGCCTCAAACTGTATTCAACATTTAAAAAACATATATATAAGTCATTTATTTAACAAAGACAGAAAAACAATAATAGAATCAGAAGCGGATTTTAAACCACAACTGTTAGACCTGAAGTTGTGGGAATTCCTCCCTCATCAAAAATTCAACAAAGCGGGGAACAACACCTGCTTGAATCACCTCCTGAATTGGCGGACTACGCTCTGCCAAAATCCATTATAGGATACAATAAATGATATCAATGACTAAGTTAAAGCAAAGAGTTCTCTCTACAACCCAAATTATTTAGAACACAATAATCACCTATAGAAAGCAATTTTCGGAATTGGGTGGTTGCCTCAAGCTGGCTGCTGGGATCATCTGTCCAAACACTCACGACCATTGATGGTAGATTTTCTAACTGCACCTACAATCAAAACAAACAAACAAGCAAAAAATTCAAAAATACCATCAATGCTTCTAAAATGTTATGATAATATATTTATGGTTCTAATCACGGCTCTGATGATATATTCCAAACCACAGGCAGAAGCAAAGTTAATTCTACGTATGCGAGATGCATCACATCCATATTGAGTTTGAAACACAGCAAAAAACAGAAAATGAAAAAAGGCAGGCACTAATCAATCTTGCATTTGCTGTAAATCGTTTGACTACTTGATAGGAAAAACAAAAAATAAAAATAAAACTAAAAATCCGATCCTCACAGTCAATTGAACACACAACCATAGCCTAGCATCCAAAAGGAAGATCAAAACCCCGACTATCCAATTCCAAACACAGGTCTACAAACATTTACAAACCAAAAATTCTAACAAACAAAAACACTATATGGAAAGCAAATAAAAGCAAACAAACAATTATTATACATTCATAATCATACGCCTACCTTTTTCTCAATGCCGGTGGTGGCTTCGACAGGAACAGAAAACTGCTGGACACCCTCACGGCGCTTCTTCTGGAGGTTCTCCTCACGGCGGTTCTTCCGAATCTCGACCATGTTGTCCTCCCTCCGCCGCCTCCCCTCCTCGGCGTCCACGGCCACCTTGTAGCGGTTGCGGCGGACCTCAGCGCGAGCATTGGGTCTCAGTGACATCGTAAGCCCTTCGAAAATCGCTGAGAGGAAAATATTGAAATCGGAAATGGTGGAAGTGGCGGAGTGTGAGGTGAAGAGCGAGGGATTTATACAGGGTTTTGTTATGTGCGAATTGGGAAACGTGGTTTGGGTAAAATAGGACATGGATCAGCATGTATTTACGATTTTGGGACTTAACAAGTTTGAATTTGAATTTGAATATGAGGGAAAAGCCCGAGTTTGAATACGTGGGCTTGTTGGGCCGTTTTCTAACTTTAGGCTGGATATAAGCAGATTTTTTTTAGGAAATAATAAGGATACCGTTTGATAGATTATTTTCAATTACGTTTACTCGGATAATTTTTTTATGAAAATTTTAATAGAACGTGTTTGATAAGTATATAAACTGGTTTATAATTTATTTAATTAGCTTATAAATTTCTTATATTTAAATAAAATTAGTTTGATAGGACAATTTTTTTTAAAAAACTTAAACTTATCTTATAAGCTTCCTTGGTAGTTTTTCAAATAAACCCATTGAAAATTTTATTGATAAACTTCGTTGGGTACATCTCATAAGTTTCCTTGGCTAGTTTTTCAAATAAGTTAATTGAAAATTTTACTATAAGATTTATTGAGAACCTTTTCAAATAAGTCCACTGAAAAATCTATTTTGGCTAGCTTATCAACAAATTTATCAAACACTTTTATCATATAAACTAACATTTTAACCACAACTCACAAATTATCAGTTTTATGCTCAAAATTCATTTAAAAACTATAACCTAACTTATCAACTAAGTTTACTAAACATAGCATAAAAAAATAATAACATTCGTGTATTTATAGGTTTTAAATAGGCTTAATTACATATAAAATCTTCAACTTTAATTGGATTGCATAACTCAAAATTTCTATCATTGCAAATAAATACTCCACTTTTATTATGTGTTGCAAATTTGTTTCAAAATAATTTTCCGGCACCCCCGAGTTGACGTGCCCGGTTAAAATTCTTACGTGGAATTTATGTTTAATTGCGTGGCACTGATATTCGTAATTAGCACATATCATATGAGATATGAACGATTTCATCACCCCCATATTTTTGTCCAAGAAACATAATTTCACTCCTTAAATCCTAGTTCACGCACAATCCCCATCAATCAGTGGCGCTTTGGAATTTTCAACTTTAATCATCATACACCGACCACATCCGTTTATTTTCCGACGGTACAAAGTCCGTTCCCCCTGTTCCTCCCTCTCCCTCATTTTGTTTCGGTTGTCGTGAGTGATTCTATAGTGCGGTACAAGGTTCGTGAGCGATTTACTGTTACCAGAAAACGGGATTCAATTTTCTCCAATTTTTTCAAAAGGTGAATGAAGGTTCTCGCCAATTTTGCCCAATTTGTCGTGTTCGAATTTTTGTTTGCAAGAAATTGGTGTTTTTGTAAAAGGCAAAACAACGAACGAAGTCTTTTTTTACTAGTGATGTGACAAAATGTTGCCACACAATCAAACATAAATGTCACGTAAGAATTTTAGTTAGACACGTCAGCTCAGGGTTGCCGAAAAATGAGTTTGAGACGAATTTGCTACACATAATAAAAGTAGAGTATTTATTCACAAAGATAGGAAGCTTGAGTTTTATATGCAATTCGATTAAAGGTTAGGATTTTATGTGTAATTAAGCCTTTTAAATAATAACATTCATGTATTTAATATTTATAGATTTTCTTTCCAAATTTATTGATCCAATTGATAAAAAAACAAATCAATATTATCACGTATATTTTGATAGCACTCATTACAACAACAACAACAACAACAACAACATAGCCTATGTTGTCTCAACATAATAGGTCTCAAGCCCTGATAAAGGAAGAGTGTTGTGATAGGCTTGACGAGCCAACGTAAAACCTAACCGTTCAAAGGAGATGAAACACATAAGAAAATTTGATAGCACTCATTAGTTCACCAAAAATGAGAATCAAATTTAACCAAGGCCAAGGGATTAAACTGCAAATAAGATATATTCAAATAGTACAACACACATTTTTCCAACGAAGAAGCAAGTTCTTCACCAAAGCAAACTGATTAATCAAGGTCATCAAGACATCACGTAAACACCACAAATAGTCTATTTTCCATTGCTTTAGCAACCGTGTGGTGTTCGTGAAGCCACAATCAGAAATTTCCAAATCTTACACTTCTCGAACTAATTCCTAAATTTTGAATGGTACAACTACAAGTGAGGAAAGCAATAGTACATCAAATGCGAAAGCTGCGCTTTTTTGGTGTTGCCCGAGCATTGGCCCCACTGTCACGGGCCCTCTTTGTGATTGTTGGATCGTCACTCTCCACCATATTAGCCATATCCTCACCGAACAAATCCACGAATGTTTTTTGCAGGTCCTCTAGGCTCTCTTCCTTCTCGATAATAGTTAATTTATTGTTTTAGAAATAAACTTAGTAATATAGTTAAGTTACTACCATGCCTTCAGAATTGAATGTGAAGTTCCGTACCTCTGCCCCAGCGTTTTGCTCCATCATATTCATTAGGTCATGAAGGAAATCTCCCATTCCCTGCTAACGAAAACTAACAAATAATAAGGGGAAAATCTTATGCTTGATTGTTTTGATGCTATACTAGCAAGAAATTGATAATTATTATTATTATTAAGGTTTATTTGGTCTCAGATTTTAGAAATTTGATAAAAACCTTTTTTGATCATAACAAGAAATACATCCTTTATCAATCACCAGACAAGAACTGAGGTTAAACCATGAATGGTAAGTGCCACAAAAAGGACCAATGGTGATTACTTCAAGTTATGAAAGAAATAGAGTATAATGGATAATGTTTCATTCCGCATATATGTTTATGATCAATACAAATATTACTTGATAAACAAAAACACGGTAATTCGATTACTTGCACGTGACAACAATGCTTGTTTAAATTTCAAAATCATGTTTAGAACATTTATTCTATAATTATGATTTTTATTAGTATTTTTGAAATATAAAGTCGGTAGGTCTTGTGTCAGGCCGGCTTAATGGCTCTTCGTACAAATATGCAGATAATAAGAAAACCATCTGATGGCTCCATAAAAATTTTTGAACAAAGTATGACATATGACATTTGATAATATAAGTATACAAAAAAATCGAAAACCCAATCAAGATCAATTACAAAATCACAAATTCACGTGTCAGTCAACCCATCATACTTTACTAACAAAATGCATACTTATAGCATGCAAAGCCATACTTTTGTATATGTTGGTTATATGAATACCACATTTGAGTTTATGTCTATATGTTGAAAACATATGGCTGCGTAAACATAGCCTTACTCATACAAAAATGATATTCCTACAACAATAAAAGAACAAATAAATAATTAAATAGTATAACTTCCCATCATTAATAAGATTTCACTAATCTTCTTAAGGAAAATAACTTGTTGCTAAGAGCACCCACAATGCATTGAGTCTAATTTTATATATGTGGCATATAAATAGACTTATGACATGGACAAACCAAGTAAAAAAGCTCAAAAGCTATTCAATGCAATAATAAAATATTAGGTCTAGCATATATGCCAACTAATAAAAATGCTCTAATATGTTTCCTTTATTAAAAGAAAATTTAAATTAAGAATAAATTATGAGTGTTTGAGTTTGTACGTGGGTCCAAAATAGACCCAAGTGTGGACTTTGTCTCTTTTTTTTTTTATTGTCACATAAGTTATACCATGTCCACTTTTAATTGTATTAGGAGACATTTTTTAATAGACTAAGTCTATTTCATATGTGGCATAAGAGAGCCAATGCATAGTGGGTGCTCCAAGTAGACAAACTCCAACTTTGAATGCAACATTGCAAATGGAACACAGTAACATAAATCATAGAATGTGGGCACATAATTATGTTGATTATTTTATTAGGTGGACCGCAAACACATGTGGAAGGAAAAAAAATAAAAAATTAAAAGGCATGGCGGCGAGTGGCGAGACAAAGACAAAGAACGTAGAGAGAGAAAAAAATATCTGAGATATTTTTTGACACGCACCTCGTCTTCTTCAAGGAGATCAAGGAATCCGGCATCGTACATTGATCTCTTCCCCTTATCAGACAACACTGAAACCACAAAAATTCCAATACAAATCAAACAATTGAGTCGACCGACCTCTAAAGGGCTTTCAATTTAAACGAATAGAAAACAAACGAATCGTATTAACAAATATCCATAATGAATCAAACCAGCGTAGGCCTCGTGAATTTTCTGGAACCGGCGATTGGCTTCGCCGGCGGCCGACGGGTTCTTTGCCCACCTGTCCGGATGCCATTTCTTCATAGGGAAAAACAAAACACAGAATAAAAATTCAAAATAGAAACAAACGGAAATCTGAAAAAAGGTATGAAGAAAGAGTGAATCGGCGTTTGGATTTCCTGCGCCGGCGCCGGCGGCACCTCAGGAAGTCAGTCAATTCTTCTCACACAAAAAGAGGGAGAGAAAAAAACAATCACAAATCATATCGTGTAAACGATTTCATAAATCGTCATTCCAAACTGTAACCGGAAACTATCAACAACCATAATTCAGGCGACGACTAATATAAAATTAAAAATAAATAAATAAAACGCCGATCCGGGGCGGAACAAAAATTTACCAAGGCGAGCTTGCGGTAAGCCGATCGAATGTCGGAGAAGGAGGCGTCCTTGCGGATCCCAAGGACGGAATAGTAGCAGCAGGGTCCGGCATCCCGATCCATGACCCGAACCCGGTAAACCCGAATGTAAAGAGCTTCAACCTAGCTATCGCGTCGATAAATTGTTCCTCCACAAACGCTTTCAGGTACAGAGCATTTAGAGATGCAGAGAGAATTTTGGCTCTGTTTAGGAAGTTTTGTAACAAAATAGGGTTATTTAGTTAATAAGAGAGAATTTGCTGTGGAGAGAGAAAAATATCTGGGGAAGGTGAGGAAAGTCCGACGCCGGAGAAGGTTCGAGAGAGGGGAAAGGAAGAAGATATTTTGTTGGGCGGAGTTCGAGTTCGGGCCTCGTTATGGGAGAAATTACTGGACCTGCCATCGATATTTTTTTAGTAGGTTACTTATTATATTTTACTAGCGCATAGCCCGTGCGATGCACGGGATGGTATATTTTCCTGAAATGTTTAACGTGTGAAATATTAAAAATAATATAATTTATATATATATAATAAAAATAAATGGATTGCAAATAAGGAAAAAAAATATAAATTATTGAACACTTTCTTTGTGAAGTAAAATTTGTGAAGGTTTGGTATATTTGATTATGAATAGAAAAGTATGAAATACTACCTGCGGACCGTTGAGATAAATGAGAAGATTTACTTAGAATATATAGAATAAATATCGAGATAATGATTTACCTTTTACCTAGTATAGACAAAATAAATATTGACATGATGTGGGAAAATTATGACGAATTATGACATAAATTCGTTTAGAAAATATTCAAAAATTAGATTTATTTTTTATTTTTTAAATCCTTACCGTAATTCGTACGCTCTTTTTCATACGCTTAGTTTATCAATTTTACACATGTAAATAAAAATTAATGCAACTCGAAATATTATATAATAAATAAAATGAGATTTTTATCTAACATTTAGTATATTGCCGGAAAATTTTTTATAAATCTTATTCTCTTTTTATGCACATAGATATTAAAGAATGAGTAAAAAAAATATCTAAATATGTTTAAAAGTATCTAATATTATATGTGTTAACAGTGTTACAACCAAAAGACATTAAGAATACGCAGACTATTATATAACATATGTGAAAGTATTAAAATATTTTATATTATTATTGAAAAATGTGAAATTACCTCAATTTTGTCTAGACTATTTTATAAGAAAAATATATATACTTAAAGTTAGCACACACATATATATATATCCTTAAAATTTGCCCAACTAACATGTTTAAAAGTATATAAAATTTTATATATAAAATACGTTTAAAGTTTACATATTTTACAAAAATTAGACTGCTCTCAGTTTATATAAAGTTTGTTGCTCTCATATTCGGATAATGTATTATGCATTTAATGAAAGCACCTACGATACAAATTTATAAATATTAATTAAAATAATTTTCTAAATTATATAAAATTGAAATAACAAAGGTAAATATTACCTGTTCATCGTGAAAATGCGTTACAGCTCTCCCGTTCGTGATGGGTTTCAATAATGCGGACTGCTCTCAGACACAAAAAAGGTTTGTTATAAATATTAATTAAAATAATTTTCTAAATTATATAAAATTGAAATAACAAAGGTAAATATTACCTGTTCATCATGAAAATGCGTTACAGCTCTCCCATTCGTGATGGGTTTGAATAATGCGGACTGCTCGTGATGGGTTTCAATAATGCGGACTGCTCTCAGACGCAAAAAAAGGTTTGTTATAAATATTAATTAAAATAATTTTCTAAATTATATAAAATTGAAATAACAAAGGTAAATATTACCTGTTCATCATGAAAATGCGTTACAGCTCTCCCGTTCGTGATGGGTTTCAATAATGCGGACTGCTCTCAGACACAAAAAAGGTTTGTTATAAATATTAATTAAAATAATTTTCTAAATTATATAAAATTGAAATAACAAAGGTAAATATTACCTGTTCATCATGAAAATGCGTTACAGCTCTCCCATTCGTGATGGGTTTGAATAATGCGGACTGCTCGTGATGGGTTTCAATAATGCGGACTGCTCTCAGACGCAAAAAAAGGTTTGTTATAAATATTAATTAAAATAATTTTCTAAATTATATAAAATTGAAATAACAAAGGTAAATATTACCTGTTCATCATGAAAATGCGTTACAGCTCTCCCGTTCGTGATGGGTTTCAATAATGCGGACTGCTCTCAGACGCAAAAAAGGTTTGTTATAAATATTAATTAAAATAATTTTCTAAATTATATAAAATTGAAATAACAAAGGTAAATATTACCTGTTCATCATGAAAATGCGTTACAGCTCTCCCGTTCGTGATGGGTTTCAATAATGCGGACTGCTCTCAGACGCAAAAAAGGTTTGTTATAAATATTAATTAAAATAATTTTCTAAATTATATAAAATTGAAATAACAAAGGTAAATATTACCTGTTCATCATGAAAATGCGTTATAGCTCTCCCGTTCGTGATGGGTTTCAATAATGCGGACTGCTCTCAGACGCAAAAAAAAAGTTTGTTTCTTTTGTTAACGTACCCCAGTCTGGAAGCATTATATATCAAGTGTACCCAGCCTGCTCGTGATGGGTTTCAATAATGCGGACTGCTTTCAGACGCAAAAAAGGTTTGTTATAAATATTAATGAAAATAATTTTCTAAATTATATAAAACTGAAATAACAAAGGTAAATATTACCTGTTCATCATGAAAATGCGTTACAACTCTCCCGTTGGTGATGGGTTTCGTGATGGGTTTCAATAATGCGGACTGCTCTCAGACGCAAAAAAAGGTTTGTTATAAATATTAATTAAAATAATTTTCTAAATTATATAAAATTGAAATAACAAAGGTAAATATTACCTGTTCATCATGAAAATGCGTTATAGCTCCCCGTTCGTGATGGGTTTCAATAATGCGGACTGCTCTCAGACGCAAAAAAAGGTTTGTTTCTTTTGTTAACGTATCCCAGTCTGGAAGCATTATATATCAAGTGTATCCAGCCTGGAAGCATTATATTGTATATGCGATGAAAAATTATTCTCTCTATTTTTTTTTCTCTGAACTCGTGAATGATGAGTTGTAATGATGGTAGTGAATATCCTTTTATACAATTTTTTATTAACAAAAGTAATAAGATAATTATGGATTGTATTTGGATAGATATTAAATTCCATGATTTTTGGGATGCAACAACAAAATATGCAATCACATGTATATATCTTATCACGTTAAAGGTATATCCATCCCTAAAAAAAGGGAAATATATAATGCCTTAATTGACGGAATTTGTGTATTTTCGTAACAGATTTGCTTAATTAATGGGATCTGATACTTAATTAATGGGAATACCAATTACAAAACCCTATTCACGATTTCTTTTTTTTTTTCAAAATTTGATTGAGATTACATAAATAGAAAGTCAAAAGTCAACTCAATTTATTTTAAGTTTCTAAAAATGATTTTTACATCAACCTTTTTAGATATATATAGATGAAATCTAAATTGCATAAATGTCTAAAACTTTGGTTAATGTTGATATTAATGGGGTGTTCTTGGATTGATGCTTGTGATTTCAGTCAATTTTTTAATTGAAAAAATAATATTTTTGAAGAATCAATTATAAGTATGGTGTGAAAAAATTATTGTAAAATATTTTATGCAAAAATAATTATAGCTATAGCATGAATTATATAAATAATGAAGTTGTAATTGAATATTTGTAATAAACAGCCTAATTATCTGACTATTATATTGTTCAACAATTTATATGTTACCTTTTATCGAATATTCTAAATTTTATTTTGTATTATTAGTTTCCTAAGATTTTCTTTCTTGAACCATAGTTTAATTCTTGTTTCTGATTTTCAATACTTAAATGTTTTTCATAATATAAGATTGTGTATATATATTATATTATTGTTATTTTTATCTTAAACAACAAATAATTAGAAATAATATACAAAACCTAAAAAATAAAATTGAAAGTACTGAACAACATAGCACAACATTTTTGTGGTTCAGAGATATTGTCCAAACTTTTCACAAAGTAAATGTGAAACATCATAGATGAACTGAAGCTTTTCTTTGTACAACTGCCAAACTTAAAAGCAACAAACAAATGGATGAACAGAATAACAAAAAAGCACCAGGAAAGCTTAACTACAAAGCTGCTCATCATCTTCAAAAGCAGCCAAACATCTTCACTGAGTGCTGAAAAAAACTTAGATGATAAAAACAAAAAAAAAAATCTATGCAGCATTGGGTCTCAGTCTTTGTCCATTTGTTGGATAACTAAAGACTAACGAAAAACTCAAACGTTGCGTAGAATTATTGTGAAACTAATTTCAACCCGGCAAGTAAAGATCTTCACAACCCGACTTTTTTTGAGTGCTTTATTTCTTTATACCTTCTTTGGCAAACCGAAATAATCTGCTTTTCGCTTCATACACTTTCTTCACATTGGCACATAACCGAAAGAGCTTTTCCATTTTCTTGCAGCTACATTGCGCTTAACTAATATCCGCCACTTAACCACCGCAAGTATTTTGCACCACCTTTCAGAGCTCGACGAGATTATCCCAACCTCGTGAATTCCGGGATGAAAAAACGAGCCGTTACCTTGCCAGCCTGGCGACTCCACTTGAAAACCGTTGTCCAAAGGCAGATCATCAGTCGAGAGCTGTGGGCCCGTGTAATTCCCTCCAGAAGCCCACATGCTTTCCTCCCCGGTGAAGAAATCGACAGGGGAATAATCTGTCTCGGAAATATTCTTAAATGTAGGGTTTAAGCCCTGACTTGAATTTGAACTCTCACCAAACTCGAATGAACAGTTATCTTGTTCGGGCTCGGCGTTGTATATTGGTGACATTGTTGGATGATAAGAATTAATCTCTGTTTTCAATTTGACAAAAAAAAAAAAATGTTATTTTGGATACTTTCAGAGATAAGCTAAGGCTGATGTTTGGTAACTAAATAAGCTACCTTATAGTTTATTTGGTTTGGTTAGCTTATAAGTTTTCTGTATTCAAATAAGTTTTGTTTAGTACGACGAATTTTTTCAAAAAGCTCGGGCTTATCTCATAAGCTTCTTTGAGGATTTCAAACTCCTTGAAATTTTTATTTCAGCTAGCTTATCACCTATTTTTACCAAATGCTTTTATCATATAAGCTAACTTTTCGGCCATAAGTCATAAGCTTGAAAATCACTTATAAGCTATCAGTTAGCTTATCAGCTATCAGCTATCAGCTATTAGCTAGCTTATAAGCTAGTTTTACGAGCCTAGTAGGACTTGCACCCTTGAGTGGCTTATTTTGGATATTTTTTTCATCACATGCATGATTTTTACCTTGCTCATGGAAATTGGCACCATTGAGACCAATGTTACGATATACACAAGTGTCGGTTGCAGGGCTTTCGAAAAGCATCGGGCACCCAAGAATTGATGTTGGCTCGTGAAATTCCACCCATTGAGATGAGTTTTCATAGGCCTGTTGTTTCATATGTTCCAACATCTCCTGTAAAGGGATGTGTGAAGGAAAGTTTAGTTTTTTCGTATTCCATCAAATAAAGTAGAAAAGTATGTAAGAAAAAAGGGTGTGAAGATGCTAACCATCTGATATGTGTTGAGGTTGTCCAAAGAAAGGTAATTTCGACCGTCGAAAGTGACCCCAATTACCTTGTTTGTAGAAGTAAATAACAGCCCGGTCCCTTGTGCAGTCGTGTAAATGTACTTCTTATCGTCCAAAGTACACGTTTGAGCATGCTCGACAATCGTTTCCCATGCCTTATTAGTAACTTTATGTAGTATCTACAAATCAAAATTATGGTTAGTAACTTAAAAAAAAAAAGAAAAAAAAAGGAACGAAATAGAACTTCAAGAAATAAATCACGAAATAATCTCTCACCGTGCGCAACCCTACTCGGTCCATGAAATAGATCTTCAAGAAATCCCTAACACAGTGTATTCCGAATTGTGTTAAACTCTTATGAGACGGGCCATCTTTGGCTATCTTCTCCAAACGCCAAACCTCGTCATCCAAGCACGGTGGGTGATGCTTCTTGTAAGCTGAAAACCAAAAACAAACAAATTAAATCAAATAATGTATATTATTTTTTCCAACCTGTATTATACGTGCAGTAACTTTCGTGGTAAACCGCAACCTGAACTTCATCAACATTCATAATTTTTTTCTCACTCGCATACATCTTGGCCATTCATACACGTGTCAACTTTCAAAGTAGGCGAGTGTGCAGATTATGAATGTTGATGAAGTTCAGGTTGCATTTTACAATGCAGAAAAATACTGCAGGTTACAAATTCCAAAAGCACGTATAGTACAGGTTGGAAGCAGTGTTTTACCCTCAATAACTTCGAAATTCGTAATGAAAAACCACTTACACTCCCCTCGATGATCCTTGACTTTAAACGCGGTACTAAAGGCTTCTTTGATCCCAGAAAATTTTTCTGCTGAGCTGGCGAGCGCTTTAACCCCGAGACAAAATTTCCCGCTCCGAATCCAGCTCGAATTATCGGTGAAGCTCACGTCACCAATATATCCGACCCCATTATGCAACGACACCGCCAGCTCGCCAGTCAGCAGCGGCCTTCGACCTTCTCTGTTCTTCACCAATTTGCGGTCAAATTCCTCAGCCGTCCAATCTTCACGATCAACGGCTCCGAAATCTCCATCGAGGACAACTAAAGTTGCCTTGAGAGACGAGTGGGGACCACACGATATTACTTCTTTGGTGGTTGAGTCACAAAGGGCAACTTTGATTTGAGTCTTGTCCTTGGACTGAACTCGGCTGTTTGTGAAGAGGGTTTGCGGTAAATTGTTACAGAATCGCAGCTCGAGTTTTCTCGGTAGAGTGACTTGATTCTCCGAGATTCTGCAAGAAATTTTTTCCCTTAAAAATTTTTTTCGAACGAATTCCATTTATAGAGATACCATTTGGAGAGGAAAAACATAAAAGAAGTCACACAACACATTGTTGGATCAAGATCGACGAAGAACCAAATAACAAATAAGTACCTCAAATAAGGGCCGATCGAATGGTTTATTGCCTCTCGAACCTATTGATACAAGGAAAAATAGAATAGTTAATATGTGAAGTTAAAAGATGAAGTAAGAATTCTATGGTGAAAGAAGTCAAAAATTGAGTATTAAATCCAGCCGAAATGTTATGAAAATATTATCATGTAAGGTGAAAGAACAGTACATATAATTATGATATAAAAATGGGAGATTTACTGTGATAGACATTCTTGTATTGTTGAAATATTATTCTTCATCAAATATGATACTTGGAATAAAAGAAAATCAAACTGTTGTGAACTGGGTAAAAGTGAAAAACTTCATCAAAGGCAACTTATAATCTTTGGTCTATACAGAAAGCTAGCTCAACTATTTTTGCAGAAATGCATCAAGATTTCTTTTTTACGAGAATATTCTTTATCGTGAATCCTAACAAGTAACACCCCCTTAAGCCCATAAGCAAGCCTTATAACAGATAGAACACTAATCAATTGCACAAAAAATGGATAAATTGGAAAATTTAAAAAAAAAAAAAAAAGGAAGAAGAAAGTCTTACTATTCTTCTAATCATGGGTTCCAAGCAGGATGCAGATTCTGGCAAAATCCGACCATGATTGACTCCTCTGAGTAAACTGCACGGAAACAATCAAAGGAAAAATCAGATAAAAAAGCACAGAAATACTACAAAAGAACAACAAATGGAACGGGACTAGGCTGTAAAAGAGCCGAGCTGAGTTCGAGCCAATCTCGAGCTTTAACGAGCCGAACAATAGAAAATTATAATAAAAAATATCTTTTCGAGCCTTAACGAGCAGAGTCGAGCTCGGCTCGTTTAATTTAACAGCACTACGGGACCCACCTCGAACCGTTGTGACGTCGTTTAAACGGCAGCCGAGAGCCTTCTTCAGCCCCCTCTCCAAGAGGTCGTTTCGTTACCATTCAGAAAGCCAAAATGCTGACAAACCTTAAACTATAATGAACTAAATGATTATAGCAAGCAGGTTCAGGTAAGACCAAAAATTCGTTGGCCACCAATGTTTAAATAGGAACTGAAAAAAACCCAAGTGGTCGGTTAAACCGGAAACTACCTATGAAGCTTCATTCAGGCAATTAAACAAACACATTGTGTGCTCGAATGAAGTCAATCGCACATTTTCATCACTCATCTACATAGAGTAACAAGAACACTCCAACTACTTATTTTAAGGATTGAGTCCCACAAAATTTTTGTGTCCTTGTGTTGTATTAACAAGGTTTAAAAGAAATGAATAGAAAAAAAAAAATAANAGAAGAAGAAGAAAGGTACTAAGAGAGTTAAAATCAATAAAACAAGATTATCAAAAACCAAGAAAATCATTTGGTCCATTTATTCCTATCCAAATACACAGTTTGGTCTTGTTTTAGCATGTATACATATTTCACACAATATGCATATTTTTATTAAAAATGTCGTGTTTTAAAAAATAACATTTATAGAAACATTTAATAGCATAAATATGTTGTATTGTTGTTGAAAACGTATTGCGGGCCATACAAGAACTTGTGAATATCATGTTCTCACAACACAAATTTTTATATGTGAGGCAGCCCAATCATTAGACGATGGATTCAACAAAAATACATATCTATATTAAAATTCTTCCGTCAAAATTACAACCTTTCTAACTTAATTTTGGGAAAATAATGATAAACTAATTGATACTTTTGTGCATAATAAGGGAGAAATCCAGTGTAAGAACTTATTTTTGGTAAAAGTAATGATATCTATTAACTAGAATAATTTGATAGTTTATGTGCATAAGGGAGAAAAACAGTGTAATAGCAACGCGGATTTGCTGACTGGTCCGAAATTAAGGAGTGATGTTGAGAGAAATGGGGTGCATATCTTCTAAGTCGCGAAGCTTGGAGGAAGGTTCGGACGCGGTGAAGATATATGTTTATGTTTAGCAGAAGAAAATCAATAAATATGGCGCGTTTAGGTAGAGAAGACCTGCAAAAGTCGTCTCCGAGAAGGACGGAATTTGAGGTTTTTTATTTCAAACCTTTTTTTTCTTAAAGGGTTTTCTTACATATTTTTGCTTTTTTAAATTGATTAGGAGTGCAAAAAGAGTCGAGCCAAGTTTGACTCGGCTTGTTAACTTATCGAGCCAAAAGTTCGAGCTCGAGTTCAACTCGTTTATCAATATACTAGTCGAGCTCAACCCGAATTCTAGTTTTAAGGAGCCGAACAATTAAAAATATATAAAATTTACTTTTCGAGACTTATCTCGAATTTTGTTCGATAACATTTTTTCCTTTCTATATTTTCCATTTCGCTTTTAGTTCCCACCACTCTACCACCCAGCCAATTCTGTTCCACTTAATCCCTCTTTCATTACCACGAGCTCACAAGTGGCTCGTTTCGTTTAATAGGAGTGAGCAAATCGAGCGAAACCGAGTTTGAGTTTAAAATATTTGAGCTTTAACTTGTTATATAGTTAACGAGTCAAGTTCAGCTCGACTCAATAAAGGCTTAAGCTTGAGCTCAAATATTATGAACTCGAGCTTGGTTGGATTCCCGTTGTGTGTAACGTTATGTGGAGGGGTTCAGTACAAACTAATCATGAGGTATGTTGACGGACGTTTCCGGTCAACAGTTAAAAAGATGAATAATAAAAAGGTAATGTGAAAAGGACAAAGGAAATGCGATTCAATTATGATTTTATTAAAGATCACGAGGTTGGCCTCTCGTACGAGGTCGGCACTTGCGATATACTTACAGATTCTTATTCGAATTCTTTACAAGTCTAGAGAGAGAAAATGTAGAGAGAGTTTAGACAGTTGGGATTCAACAACCACAAAATAAATGAGGGGGTTGCTATTTATAGTGGTCTTTAATGCGGCACTGTTCAGGTACTATTCGCTGGTCTTGTCGTACAGTAGTTTGGCAGGACGAGTTGGCGTTTCTCTGACTGATTGGGAGTGATTTCTGGGTTTCCCAATCATTACCTGTCACGCATTTAATGCGGATGTGGGCTGCATTTAATGCGGACATGCTCCTTGGCCGAGCTAGACGTCCTAGTCCTGCAGACTAGTCTGGGATGTCCCATCGGCAATCATTCGTTGACAAGTGGCTTTATTTTATTGTCTTCAAGGTCGTGTTCCTATTAGGGGCCGACCTTATAAGATCCCGAATCGGCAGCATATCAGCTCCCGCTTCAGCCTCCGCAGTCTTCTTCTCTACTTCGGCACCAACCCGACCCGGAATTGAGAGGACAGGGTGCCGACCTCGCAATTGAGAGGACACGGTGCCGACCTCGAGATCGACTCTAACCCCCGTTCCCGGTAGCTTTGACTTTTACTCGGCTCGGCTCTTGCACCAGCCGGGCCGGTCTCGACCGGTTTTTGATCTCTCGGATCATTACCTTTATGGGAGCCCTACCCGAATATCAACAAGGTAGCTAAATGGTTTTTATCCATCTTCATAATTTAGAAAAAAAATATTTAAAAAATAATAAAAAAAACTAATAACAAATAAATATAATATGGCATAAATCATACTTATAGTTAAAATTATTTCATTCATAAAATAATTGTAAAACAAATAATTAGAACTAGGATTTTTATTTATTTTTTATATTTTGCTTAGATGTTTGACATTCATATTGCATATATAACAATTAAACACATCTTATCTTTATTAAAATAAGTAAATTACCTATTAAAATTAATTAAAAAGGTATTTATTAACTAAATAAACTTATCTATATATCAAAGCTATTATGAAATGTGTCCCCCAATTCATTTTTCTAGATATACGCCCCTGTTCTTATTATATTAAATTTTATGGACGATTGACGTCATTTTCAATACATAATAATACAAGTTTATTTATAAATTATTCAGAAAACTAATTATTGTATTTTAGATTTTTTTTATAGTACAAATATCTAATTAAGACTCGAGCATTATTGTATTGCTACTGTTGGTTATTACTTGAAAAACGGAACAAGAGAGACCCCACCACAAACATCAACATGAAAAATGACCAGAGCACCGATCAAAAAGAAAAAAGAAAAAAAGAAAAAACGAAAAAAAAAAAATTAGTTGACCATAGAGCTCCTTGCTAGTAATAGTAACTAGTAACCATCATCAATTCATCATCCTCTCCAAGAACCATATTGCACGTGGGCCTAAAATGCATATCTACAAGACATAAATATGATAATTTGATTTTTTTTTTTTTACAATGTTATGTCATTCGCTTAAAAGTATCTATATTAAAAAGTAATCCATATTTGTTAAAAAGTAAAAATTATTGTTTTATAATTAGCAAGCCACCCAAAATATAAAACATGTATAAGTATCTATGTTGCTCTTTCGAATTTCAGTATCTACCTATCTGATTATCTGATTATTGTTAAGTTATATAAACATCTCATTTCAATTCTAGCAAATAGGGTTACAAACGAATCGAGCAGACTCACAAGCCGCTCAAGTCAATGCTCAACTCGAGCTCGCGCATGCAGTTTGTAAGCTTTAACGCTTAACTAGCCGCTCAAAAAATTACATAAGTACCCTTCATTAGACATTTTTAATAAATAAAACTTTCGACTCGAACTCGAGTGAAATTCGAGTCAATTTTAAGCGCTTGTGTTTTCTTATCGAGTCAAGCCGAGCCTCGAGCATGTGTCAAAGAAATTGAGCATACCTCGATAAGGTCAATGCTCGACTCGTCTCGGCTCGTTTACAAGTCTAGTGGTAGATTATGGATTATTTAATCATGGGAATTAAAAATTACACATGCTAAATATAGTAATGAACCTAAACAAAAAATGTAGCCATACATATAGTGCTTAATTTATGGAACAATACTCGAATCACGTTTCATCACCTATCCATAACATACTTGTCAAACAAAGAGAAACNTTAGTAAAAACAATACAACAATTAGTACATCTTTACCAACAAACTTCAATCCCTCGATCCGTCGATCGATCATTTCTCTCTCTACAAGTTATTTTTGTACATAAATATATGTAGAGAGAGAAAAGAGAAGAATTTGGAGATTAATTATGGAGGGAAGAGGACGGCTGTGGCACGGCGGCCCCGACTTGAAGAGAAGAAAAAGGGTGGCCAAATACAAGCTTTATGCGGTTGAGGGCAAAGTAAAAAATTCTTTTAAGAAAGGCTTTCGTTGGCTCAAAAGAACGTGTGCAAGAATTGTGCATGGATTTTAGGAAAGTGAATATTTCGATGATTATCGCAAATTCTGGCGTGAGACAGTCTAATTGTTAGACGGGTCAATTTGTCATACTTTTTTTATTTTTTTAATAAAAATGCATACTTATACTATAAAATATTTATGCTTTTTTTATGTTATTTTTTAGAGTATATACGCTGAAAAAGTATGTCTATCTAACTATTGGGCAACTTTGGCGTTGAATTATATAATGCATTATATGTATCTTGTTTATTATTATGATAATTGGAATCTTTGATCTGATATACAACATTTTTATGTTGGTTTATATGACTTAATATTTGTTGCCTTCCTAAATTGTTTAATTGTTTGTTTTTTTTCCCCTTTAAGCTTAAGGGAGACTCTTGAAAAAGAATCAAATTAAGGAATTAAACCAGCTGCAGTTGTGTGCAGGTAAAACTTGTTGCACTATTATATTTCATTTTTAGTAAATAACGTTATGACATGTAATTTAGCATTCATCTAATTTATTGAATGAAATACTTAATAAATATGAAAACAAGAAAACACAATTGTATGGTTTTGTTGGCCAGCTCAATTATTTGGGAAAAAATCATGTGGGTTCTGAAATAACCTAACTATGTATTCGGACTTAGAGATGGTGACCAGTGACTTGTTTTCTTTGTTTAAATTATACTGTTTCTTTTTAATATACCTATGTTTATTTTTATTTTATTTTATTATTATTATTTTTTTCAATTTAGTGTCGTCTTAGACACTTTGGATGCGCTTGGTTGAATAAGTTTTAGGAGTTGATGACTTATTCAAACCTCAACCAATACAGTACTTTGTAAAAAAAGATTAGTTTTAAATTTTTTAAGAGAAATATTACTAAGAGTATTTATAATTTACTAATTGATTTGATGAAGAGTTGAGACCATCGGCATCGTGGATTGCGTGCATCCGTTAAAACAGCTTGAACGGAATATGGGCGTTACCATTTTATTCATGGATTTAGTTTCGCCATAAATTACTTTTGTCAACCATAAAG